TGCATTCAGTCCCCAGCACCCCAACAAGGTTCCCCGAACCCCACTAGGAATGATCCCCAAGTACAAAGCCAGAAGTCAGCCTTGAGCACTGCTGAGTGTGTCTCCCACCATACCCCCAAAATGGGTGGATTTTCAGGGGAGGTTCTGATTGATCTTTCTTCTGGTCAGTTGGGGGCGTCCCCTGGCCCTGTCCTCTGTGCTCCTGGGGGAGCCTTACTTGTCTCTTGCTGAGGGGTGCGGGGCCATGTGTGGGAGGAGAGAGACTCTCCCTGGAGGGGCTGATGCTCACCCCGTGCACCCCTCCTTTCAGCCACTGCTCCTTTGTCATCGAGGCACTGAAGTCTCTGCCAGCCGACAAGGAGCGGCGCGACCGTCAGGCCCGGTGTCTCTGGTTTCTCGACACCCTCGTCAAATTTCGAGCCCAGAAGGTGATAAAGCGGAAAAGTAAGTGCTTCTACGCATCGCTCTGGGTTCTTCCATTTCCCAGTTTCTGGTCTGTCTATAGTTCTTTTTTTTTTTAAATTTTTATTAGTGAGACACCATGAGGTACAGTTGTAGACTTACAGATTTTGTGCTTACGTTTTAATTATACAATGATCAAATACCCATCCCTCCACCAGTGCCCATTTCCCACCACCACGGATCCCAGTATCCCTCCCACCCCTCATCCCCCCCATCTCACCCTGCCTCTGTGGCAGGGCATTCCCCTCTGTTCTCTCTCTCCTTTTGGGTGTTGTGGTTTGCAAAAGAGGCATTGAGTGGCAATCATGTTCGGTTTATAGTCTACTTTCAGCATGCTTGTCCCATCCTGGGAGGATCCTCCTGTCTGTAGTTCTTAACCCGGTTCTGGAGAGAGGAGGAAGCAGCTCTGGCCGCTTCGGTGCTTGTTCTTGATCTTATTTTACTTAACTCAGTTTGGGGGACACACCTGGCCGTGCTTTGGGGCTACTCCCGGCTCTGTGCTGGTAGGTGGGGGAGCACTCCCAGTGGTACTTGTGTCGACCATGAGACCAGGCCTTGACCCTGGGCCTCTGACAGGTCCAGTGTGTGCTCAGCCCGCCGGGCCCCTCTCCCTGCCCTGAGTCTTTGTAACCATCTAACCAGGAGGTCCCCCTGGTTTGCTGACCTGCCAAGGGTCTTGGAGCTCCTTCCTCTGCCATTCAGGCCTAGGCCTGATCAGAGCCCGCGACATGTGTGGTGGCGGATTCAGGTCCTGTTCAGGTCCAGGGCAGATTTTATAGGATGGTAAAGCCAACCAGAATCCCCCAGGGAGCAAGCGTGGCCTTGCTCAGCCTGCTGGCAGGTTGGGGTCGTGTCTGCTTAACTTCTGGCAGGGAGAGGTGAGCAGTTCTCTAGCCCAGATCTCATCAACACCACCCGGGAGCCCCAGCAGGAGACGCCTGTGGTTTGAGGCTTGGAGTGTGCTGTCCTGTGTCCCGTGGCTGACTTTCGAGTTCCTGTTTGTGCGTCTCTGTGTTCACTGGGTTCTTCTTTTCCTTCTTCTCCGGGGCATTCTCCACCCTCTTTTGCGTTTTTGTGACTCAGGATTCTGTGTCTCCGGGCCTCCTCAGAGCCTTGCTCTTCTTTCTTGTCCCCGGCCATCACCAGCATCTCTCTCCTTGGCTGTAGCCTGGAGCAGTCGAGTGCATTGGCAGACCCAGGGGCCACCCTCTCCTCTGGGCTCCAGCATCTCTCCCCGGGCACCCCGGGGTGCCTTCCTCACCTCAATACCCACAGGAGGGGTGCGACCTGAGGGTTTCCCAGGAGAACGACTCCACTCTGCTCTGCCCTGCAGGTGCCCTGGGACCTGGCGTGCCCCACATCATCAACACCAAACTGCTGAAGCACTTTACCTGCTTGACGTACAACAACGGCAGGTCTGGGGCCTTGAGCCGGGGGCTTATCTTCCCAGGACAGAGAGAGCGGGTTGGGGCAGCGGGGAGTGGGGAGGTGGGCTTGGGGGCTTGGATTCAGTTCAGTTTCATAGCCCTACATAGAGGCTGTGCTGAAGACAGAACCAGTTGGCGGGGGATTAGGGGGTGTGTTCTCGGCTTATGTACACAGGGTTTTCTAGTTTGGGTTAGTGTTTGGGGCTGGCACAGTACCCTGAGCCACAGTCCCCATCCAGGGCATGCCGAGAAACCACCATGCCCTTGATCCTGTGTGCTGCAAGTCTAGTCCAGGGCAAGGCCTGGCAGCTCCTGCATCACAGGCCTGCTTTACGTCACATGTCATTTCAGGGGAGCCCTGCAGTGTATCCCCTAGAACTGGGAGTGCTGGAAGTTGGGGTGCCGGTTGAGGGCTTAGAACCCCGAGCCACGCACCCTCCGTACACTTGCCGTGTGTTTCTGACTCTGAACTGCTGGGAATGTTCCTTAGCAGCTGGGTCTGGGGTGCCTCTGCTGAGCAGGGAGCAAGACTCTCGGGTGTTGGTGGATGTCCATATCTCCATGCCCCCTGGGGCCACAGGGCCTGGCCCTGTGTGCCTGGCTGTGACGGCCCCTTGCAGGTCCCTAGAAGGGCGATACTGGGAGGCACCCAACTGGTCTTGCTCTTGGCGACAGTCCTCTCCTGACTCCACGTCTCCCCTTGGCCACCACTGGCTTTGCAGCTTGCGGAACTTGATTTCGGATTCCATGAAGGCGAAGATAACGGCCTACGTGCTCCTGCTGGCCTTGCACATCAGCAACTTTGAGACGGACCTGACCATGCTGCAGAGGGACCTCAAGCTCAGCGAGAAGCGGTGAGCTCCCTGCGGGACCAGGGCCGGACTCCACTTCCGGAGCCCACCGTGCTTGTTGGTGCTAGAGGCTGAGATGGACACGCTGCCCTCCCAGGCAGGGCCACCATCTGAGACCACCCTGCAGACAGGCTGCATGTCCCGTGTTGGAGGAGCCAGCGCTTCGCCAGGTGGCATACCAAAAGGCCATGGCCCGGGCCTTCTCCCAACCGCAGAGCTGGTCTCCCAGAACAGCGCCCCCCATCCCTGTGTGGAGGACCCTGGGAGAGAGGTTCCGGTGACCCCCGGGGGACAGAGCCCAGGGTGCCAGTTAGAAAACTCCACGGAAATGTAGGGAGAGGACGTGCGTGGGTCAGACAGGGTCGGGGGCTGTCATTGGTCAGACTTGGGCATTTGACCTCTCGGCCCTCTGGCCGGGCTAGACGGGGCTCCAAGGCTGAGTCTGCCCATCGCTTCGTCAGATCCTGAACTGGTCTGTTTCCCTTGGTTGGGTCCTCATCTGGGTCCCCTGGGGACTGTCTCTGCGGGGTTGCTGTCTCCCCACCGCTGCTGAGAGCAGGGATATAGGGCCACGCTGCTGGGTTCCTGGTCCCCCTCAGGGGACATTTTTTTTTTTTTTGCTTTTTGGGTCACACCCAGTGATGCTCAGGGGTTCCTCCTGGCTCTGCACTCAGGAATTACTCCTGGCGGTGCTCAGGGGACCATATGGGATGCTGGGAATCAGCCGCATGCAAGGCAAACGACCTACCCACTGTTGCTATTGTTCCAGCCCCTCAGGGGACATTCTTTAGTAGATGGGCTCTGAGATGTGCTGGGCTCACTGGTGGGGTCTTGCCTTGGTGGTGGAGAGTGCTACGGCTCCTGGGATCCCTCTGGAGGTGCCGGCTGCCTTCACAACAATGCCTGGAGCCCTCCTCTGTGCCTGAGTCCCTGCCCCGGGCAGGCCTGTCGGGGTAACGTTCCTTTGGGTGTATTTTTCCCTTAGGATCATCGAGATTGCAAAGGCCATGCGACTCCGGGTGTCCAAGAGGAAAGTGGAGGTGGCGGCCGGCCGGGAGGAGGAGCACAGAATTGGGGTCCTGCGGCTCCCGCTGCCCGCCCCGCAGAATGCCGAGCACCAGGCCAAGCGACGGAGAATCACCTAGACGGCCGCTGCCTGTCTCTGCTCTCGGTCCTTTTTATTGTATAAAGAGACGGAAGATGCAGCTGGAAGCCAGCCTCTCAGTTACACCGGTGGCAGGCCAGCCCCCGACCATGCTTAGAATCAGGGAAATCTACCTCCCTGCCCCCACCGCCTCCAGCCCCCAATCACTGAATTCGCAAGCCTGGAGGGACCACTTTTAAAATAAAAACCTTTATTTTGGTTGCTGAGATTTGTCGAAGCACTTGGTTCACGGAAAAGCCGTTTCTTACAAAATTATAAAGGCAGCATTTTGTACAGCGACTCACGAGAGAAATGCGGGACAGGCCTCCCGCCCGTGCTCCCCAGCACCCACCCCGAGAGCAGCACCCAGGGCCGGGGAGAACCAGCCTGGGGAGCCGTCAGCAGATGCTCGACAGCAACCCCGGGGCTGGCTGCGGCCCCGCAAGAGGGGCAGGGTGGGCGGGGGCCCCCAGCTCTGGGACCTGGACGCGGCCAAGGGGAGGCCTCCAGAGATGGCCCTTCCCGAACCTCCTCGGGGCCGGCCGGGTCCCGGGGACACAGACCATGACATGGGGCCCCCCTCGGGCCCCCCCAGGCAGGGACGAGGGGCAGGGCAAATGCCAAAGCAAGGCAGAAAGTGCTCAGTACCTGAGGGGCTCAGAGGAGGAAGGGCACGGCCACGGCAAGGGCGGGCTCTGGAGGTGGCAGTGTGTGCGCTGACCCAAGGCGGGGGCATGCTGGCAGGAGTGGGGAGCAAGAGCCAAGGCACAGTGGGAGACCACGGCAGGGCGGGGACAGCAGGGGCGGTGGGGGGGGGGGGGCGCCCGTGGGCAGACATGGACTGGATCTCGCAGGACCGCTGGTGTGGGTGACCCTCCGAGTCTGGGGGGTGCTGTGAGGGGCCGGCGATCTCTGTCCAGGGAGGGAGGAAGGGATCCGGGTCCTCGAGGAACTCAGACTTCAGTCCCTGTGGGCAGCTAAGGGGTCTGGTGAGGTCCCGGGTGGCCACAGAAAGATGGGGAAAAGGGACAGCAAAGGATGTGAGGGTGGCTATTCCCACGAGTCTGAAGTGAGTGGGGCGTCACACCCAGGCTCTGACTCCCCCAATTAGCCCAAGCCCACCACCTTTGGTTCTGTTTTCTCCTCGAGAATCATCCTCCCAATGTCCCATGTGGAGGACCTTGGGGCAGAAAGGCAGTGGGGTGGGAGTGGGCGGGTTAATGATCTGAGTTCCCCAGGGAGCCTGGGGAGTTGAGGACAATGGGGACCCGACCCAGTGCCCTCACAGGTTACTGTGTCTTCTACCCCACGGCCTCTTAGTCACAGCACCTCGAGAGCAGGCAGTGAGAGGGGCTGTTCCCAGAGTCTTGGGCCAGCCCCACGGCCCACACCGAGGGCTCCTCTTCTCATAGGATGGTGCAGAAGATGCTGCGGTTGCTGTGGTAACCGCCTTCCACGCGGGCTGAGATCCGGGTCGCCATGGCCGTCACCTTCTGCCCACTGTGGGCTGATGAGGGGCCCCGGAGGGCATTCTCTAGGTGGGGCCGCGCTGGGGGGTTCATGAGGCGCCATGTGTCTGATCTGGAGGAGCGAGAGTGCTAAGATTGGCCAGAGTTCACAGACAGCAGGGGTGGCGTTCCTGGGGATAGGGGACAGGGTGGTGTGTGGGGGGGAGGCTGAGGCATGAACTCAGAGGTGCTGGCAGCAGGATACCAGGGCATTCTAGAGGAATGGGGGATAGTGAAAGGGGAAAGGTCAAAGGTCTGGGCAAGAGGGGCGTGAGGCAATGGCAGTACGCTGAGGCAGAGCCACTGCAAATACAGGAAACTGGCAGTGACAGCAGGGGGCATTTCCCAGACAGCTTCACAGAACTGCCTGGCTTCACGATCTCACTCCGTCCCAAATTGATGCTACAAGGAAGGTAAGTATTTTTGTTGGCTGGGGCAAGACACCTCTTGGAGCCACACCTGGCCATGCCCAGCTGGCCATGGGCTTAGCTCTGCCTGGGGCTCACTCCTGGCAGTGCTCAGGGAAACCGTTCTGTGTTGGAGCTCAAAGCTGGGCTTCCCACAGGCAAAGCCTGCACCCACCAACCCACTGAGCTCTCTCCCCAGTCCCCAAAGCAAAGATATGACTTATTTCTGACTCCCTGCTCAGGGATCATTCCTTGTGCTCAGGGGACCTTTTGGGGGTGCTGCAGATGGAACCCAGGTCAGATGTATGCAAGGCAGGTGCCTTGCCCAATGTATTATTGCTTCGGCCCTGGTACCTACTTTTTCTTGAAGACCAAGAATTTGTTGTTCTGCATGACGCAGTCCCGGTTGTTTGCAATCTGCTGAAAGATGGTCTTGTTGTTTTTGCCCTGGAAGATGATGTTCTCCTGCACCAGGGCCTTGGCGCGGCCACGCACAGCAATGCCGTAGGCCCGGAACGAGTGGATCCGGTTCTTTATCACCTAGGAGAGGCAGCAGGAGCAGCTTGTCACAAGTCAGGGCCTCCCAGATGGCTGAGGTGGGAGCCAAAGCCAGAGTCTCACAACAAAATGGAGTGGGAAGAGATCTAGGCATGTCCACACGGAGGCACGGGAGCGAGAGGGGCTGGCCAGAAAAGGGAGTGGACAACCAGGGAAGGCTTCCCTGAGGAGGGGGCAGCTCGGCTGGAAGGGCCCATCAGGGGGTGAAGCAGGAAGGAGAAAGGATGGGCAGCGGCCTGGCCAAGAGGAGAGAAGGTGCTGGAGAGCGGGACCATGGGCTGCTCCACCCCAGGGGCAGGGCACCCGCTTCCCACATCCTCTACTCCCACGGTGCTCAGCTGCCACCCATGAGCCCCACAGGCGGATGAGTGGGGCTCTGAGAGGGGGAACCTGGCCGCCAGGGTTGAGTGGGGTGCAACACTGAGCCCCAGTACAGTGCTCAGTGTAGACTGGAAGCTCAGCCCCCCCTAAAAGTCCCACAAGAGATTCACACAGCGTGGGGGCAGGGGAGGACGGGTCCAGGCCAGAGGGCGGAGGGAGAAGTGGGGGTGTGGGTGGGCACATCTGGGTGTATGGAGAGCAGAGTATGTCATGGCCCTGAGGGAAGATGCCTCCCTGCAAGCTGACGTGGCGCTGGCCTGGCCTTGCAGTCCTGGACGACCATCCCAGGGGTCCCTGGCTTCCTGCGGGAGCTGGGTGGGGCGGGGGGCGGGGCGGGCATCCTCCGCTGTGTCTCGTGCTTGTGGCATCCCCTCCTCTGTCTCCGCCACGCGCCTGGTGCCCACCTACCTTGGTGTCGGACCTGGGCAGCAGCTGCAGCCCGCTACCCCGGTTGCCGATGATGTCGTTCTCGATGACCACCGTGCTGTCGCCCTTGGTGATGACGCCGTGGCCACGGTTGTCGTAGACGCCGTTGCCCCGGAGCTCCACCTTGCATGGCGCCTCCACCCGGACCCCGCTCTGCCGGTTGCAGGAGATGCTGTTGTTGGTCACCCGGGTGAGCTGGCTGCTCTGCGCCACGGTGATGCCTCGGTCCCCGTTGGCGTGGATCACGTTGGTGACCACGTGCAGCGCCTCGCTGCTCTGCACGTACAGTCCCGAGGCTGGGGGGCGGAGGGGGGGTGAGGGCAGGGGAAGCGTGGGCGGTTGAGATGGTTGTCCTGGTTGGCAAGGCCAGGCCAGGGCCATCGAATCAGCCCTGACACCCGCAGTCAGCTGTGTGCCCCGGGGATGAGTAGGGGCGGAGAGGGAGAGGCAAGACCATCATTTAGGACCAGCCCTTGGGAGCTACTTCCTCCAGCAGAGCTGGTCAGTGGCACCTAGGGCAATGTGCTGCCCAGGGGAGATCTGTCTAGCTTTGGGGGACGGACGAGTTTTCTTTTCTTTTTCGGCAGCACCAGGGATAGAACCTGGGGCCTCACAAGGGCCCTAGTTTCTGTGAGGCTTCACCCCTGAGCATACCTTTGCAGGAACTTGGCTTTTTGTTATTGTTGTGTCAATTTTGGGATTTTCAGCTACACCTCACAATGCTCCCACCTTGATGCTCAGGGGTCACTGCTGGCAGAGCTGGGGCTGGCATCTGGCCTGCACGCACAGTCTACGCTCAGCCCTTTAAGCAAACTCCGGCCCAGAAACCTTATTTATTTTTTTTTATTTGAATTTTGGGGGGCTGGAGTGATAGCACAGTGGGTAGGGCATTTGCCTTGCATGCAGCCAACATGGCCAACCTGAGTTCGATTCCTCCGCCCCTCTCCGAGAGCCCGGCAATCTAACGAGGTATCTTGCCCAAACGGCAAAGCCTGGCAAGCTACCCGTGATATATTCGATATGCCAAACACAGTAACAACAAAGTCTCATGATGGAGATGTTACTGGGCCCGCTTGAGCAAATCAATGAACAACGGGAAGATGGTGACACTGACAGTGATTTGAATTTTGGGACCATACCTGGCAGTGCTCAGGGTTTATTCCTGACTATGTTCAAGAGATCACTCCTGGTGGGACTTGGGGGGTTGCCGGGGATATAACCCAGGTTGGGGGCATGCAAAGCAAGTGCCCCGGCCACTGTACTAGCTTTCTGGGCTCCCTGGAACCTCTTTTCACAAGCCCCCACGGTGGTTCTCATAATCCTGGGGGTGAGATAAACTCCATAGTAATGGCTCTGAGTTTCCTTTTCCTAACTGAATAAACACCTACTGTCACTTTTATCAAGCTTGCAAGAGCTGAAAACACTCCTGTTTTCTTTGGCAAATACAAACCACTGGCCATGCGAGGGCCATCACACTACTAAGACGCATCTCGCCAGAGATGGAAAATGTGGACACATGTCTCAGAACTGCCCACAAGCGAGCGCCAGGGTGGGACTCAGGGGACAGCCTGTCAGCATGGACGAGAGAGTCACAGACACTGTAGGCAGAGGAGAGATATGACCTGAGCAAAGCCAGGAGGCGGGGGTGGGGGGGTGGCTCAGGCTGAGCGGGCAGAAGCCTGGGGTGGGGTTAGGGATGGGGAGGAGGGGCACTCACCCCCGTTGTGGTTGATGCTGTTGGACTCCACAAGAGCCACAGTGACGGGCCGGCGCAGCGGGTCATCGTCCTTCTCCAGCTCGGTCTCCCAGAGGATGGCGTCCCCGTCCTCGCTGAAGTTCTCCTGGGCCCCGTGGCCTCCCGGGAGCTCGCCTGAGCCATCCTTCTGGCTGAACACGGCCACTCCGTACAGGCCGTTGTAGCTGACATGGTTGCTGGTGACGTGGGGCAGGCTGGATGACATCATCCACACCCCGCAGCCCTTGTTGGCTGCGGCAGGAAAGGAACTGATGAGGTGATCAGGGCACTGAAGGGAGGCTGCCTCCCCGTGTGTGTGTGTGTGTGTGTGTGTGTGTGTGTGTGTGTGTGTGGCAGCTGGACCCTGAGAAGCCTTGACTTGCTATTGGTCATCATGGAGCTCTGGCTGTGGCTTTTCCTTTGTGTCCAGCTCGCACGAGAACCATGCAGGGGCTGAGTGCTCTGAGCTCAGCCATGCCGTAACTCCGAAACACAGAGACCACCCAAGGGCCCTGAGCTCATCCAGCTCTGGTCTTCTGTGTAGAGCTGGGCGCAGGGATGGGGAATATTGGGGAGGCCTTGGGAACCTCCCCACACCTGCTTCCTGGCTGCAGGGTGTAACAGGTGACAGCACCTCTCTGTGTCTTAGCTTCCTGAGCCTTCAAATGGGGCTAACAACTGTCTCCATCTCAGAAGGCAGGTGCAAAGGGGCGACTGCGTCCTGTAGTGTACAGTTGGGACGTGCGTGCATGGAGGAGCTGGGACACACGTCAGCCTCACCAGGGAAGACCAGGGCTTGGCGACGACTCACGGGGAGGGAGACCCGTTTTCTTCCTGTGACTGTGTGTTTCCTCTAGCTGCCGTTTTTGGTTCTCTGGGTCACGCACGAGAAGACAGGGATGGAGCTGAGGGATGGGGGAACGGCCTAGCTCATACACTCCTGCCTCCTGCAGCTCCCGGTGGAAAAGCTGTTTGCCTGGCTGGCTTTATGGGGTGGCCGACACTGAACTTTAAGAGGTGGTAAAGGACTATGAGGAATGGGGGTTTGCTGCCTCCTTCTCCGCCCAGGCCGGCCCCCCTTCCTTGTGACATGCAGCACTCACCATAGATGGTGTTACCCTCGATCAGCCCTTTGCCCTCGTCGCCCACAACCACACCGTCCGAGTAGCCGAAGCAGATGAGGTTGCTCCTGAGCACGGGCACGCCACCCCGGCGGATGTCCACCCCGCCCCACTGGTTCTCCCGGATGACGTTCTCTGTGAACAGAGTTAGAGGGTTGAGACCCAGGGGCGACCTCCAGGGCTGGCAACAAGGTCCAGGATGGTGTAGAGAAGGGACAGTGTTGGGAGGACGGTGCCCCCCAGCCCCAAGCACTCAGCGCCCAGATTCTTCTTGGGGAGGTGTGACTTTGAGGGGAGTTGTTTGTGGTTGTATTGGTGTTTGTGGCCTCTGGCCCCCTGAAACCAAAGACCCTGAGACTGGAAAGATAGAATGAATTGGCCTGTGAGTCCCTGGGCCTTGGCCAGGCAGGCAGAATCTAGCCTGGGGGTGGGCAGGGGGGAGGGGTTCGGAGTCCACTCCAGCCTGGTGTGGGCTCAGCCTCAGCTTGGGGCTTGCTCACACCTGCCCTTCCCACACCACCCCCTGGGAGCGGCTGCACTCACAAGTCAGGCAGATGGTCCTGGTCACTACTGCTCCTCCCCCGAGGGTGGCCTCTTGACTCTGTCTCCTGCGGGGGGAGGTATCTCTGGCCCCCTCTAGCCTAGCCTCATGCCCCTGCACACTGCAACCCCAACATAGAGGGACCTCTCTGCTCGACCTGCCCATCTGTGCCCAGCACAGCCCTGCCAGACCTGAGTCCTCCTGAGTGGCCCCACGTGGGCTCACCTCCGCCTGGTGTGACTGTCTGAGCAGTGGTGCCTTGAGCTGGGCCTTCCTGTGAGCACGTCAGCACCTGGTACATCCCCTCCTGAGAGGTGGGAGGTGGGGTGGGGGTGACCGTCCCCCTCCGGAGAGAGCACACTCCACTCAAGTCTGGGGAGCAAAGGTGGGGAGCCAGGGGCCTCAACATGGATGAAAATTCCTGCCTCAACTGTGGCTGTGCTCTGTGTGCTGAGGCCAAGGGAGGCTTCAGGCTGGCTGGTGCCTGGCCCTGCTTATACTCTATCTCCTGGCAGAGGTGGCGGAGGGTTAACGCCTCACTAAGGAGCACAGTGATGTTTCCTGCTCTCAGGCCTCCTGGGTACCAGTACTGATGTGTGAGTGGTGGTGGTGATGGTGGTGGTGGGAGTGGGGGTGGGGTCCAGGTGGGCTTCCCTGAGGAAGAGAGTGGGGGTTGGAGGACGAGCAGGAGCTGGTCAGGCAGACAGACGAGGGGAGTCGTGGCATCCGCTCTCAGAGTGCCTCTAACTCCCAGTTCTATCCAGGAGAAGACAGTACTCTCCTCCTGCCGCCGCTGAGCCCTCCACTGGGGGCTGGCATGGAGTGGGCATCCCCAAGGACCAGCCCCATACAGAGGCGGCTGGCTGGTGGTGGCACAGGACTGAGTGCAGGGAAGAGAACACGTAGACTGGATCATGGGGGTGCGGGGCGGGGAGCTTGACCGCCCCCACCTTACCTGTGATGAGGCCTTTGCCATTCTCATTCACCGCGATGCCCGCTGCACGGCCCTTGAAAATGTGGTTCCCACTGGAAGAGACAAAGGACAAAGACGGAGAGTGAGAGCAGGTTGTGGTCACCCGTTGGAGACCAGGTCCAGCCCAGTGAGCGCCACCTGCTGTAGTCTCCCGGGGAAGGCTCTGCCCGCCAGGACACAGAGCCCTTCTGAATGTCCTGGATTATTACTGAAAACAGCAGGGCCTCCCCCCTGCCGTGGGTACAGCGCCACCCCCGTCTCCCACGGTCCCCTTTGCCTTCCACACAGAGCCAGCTTCAAGATTCGTGGGTCACAGGGAGCTTATGTTCTGGCGGCGTCCAGGGCTCCAAGACGGCCTTGTTAAGTGTGTTTGAGAGTCAGCTGCGTCCTGAGTCTGCTGGAGCCTGTGCTGATGATGAGCGTTTAAGCTGTTTCTACCCGACAGCTACTTGGCACCTTCCTTTCTGTCAATCTGATCATCTGTCCACTGAATGCAGCCTAAGGCAATGGTGTGTCTTAAAAAGGAGACCAGGGGGGTGGCAGGAGGGAAATGGGAAGACATTGGTGGTGGGAAATGTACACTGGTGGAGGGATGAGTGTTGGAATATTGTATATGACTGAAACCCAATCATGAAAGCTTTGTAATTGTATCTCACAGTGATTCAATAAAACAAAAAAAATAAATTAAAAAAAAAAGTAGACCAGGTTTCAAAAGGGGGTTCCAATGATATCAGACAACAGGTGGGCTGGCCACAGTGGAAGGCAGGTGAGGTCATACTCCTGCTCAGAAATAGACCCATCCCCCAGAGCCACACCCCGGATCCTGTGGAAGAAGAGCTGGTCACACATGGTGTCAGAAGAAAGGGGCATTCAGCCCAGAGCCCATTTCTGGCTGACTACTCTGATGGACAGGAAGGAGAACCACATTCTCTCTCCGCCCAGCCCCACCGAAAGAACACACCCCTGCAGGACTGGGGAGTGGGAGGGGGCACAGAGTCATCCTGCAGAACCCCATTGAGCACACAGGACTGTGCAGATGATGTGGCCCTATCTCGAGAGTCCAAAGGCTTTACTTGGTGCAGAGGACAAACAGCCGTTTAACATTCGTGCTGAGAAGTCAAATGTTAACTGTCTCTGTGCTGTGCGTCTGGAGTTGAGAAAGTGGAACGAGCTGATAACAACATCCCAATGTCTCTCCCCCACAGCTCCAAAGGGTCTGCTTTGATCTGGTCACAGTTCTGTCAGTTGATAGTCACTGTGCATTTCCAGAACTCACAGCTGGACACAGTCCTGGGTAGGGCTTCACCGCCTCCACTTCCGAGGATCGTGGGAGAATAGGGAATGCATAACTGGCTGTAGCCACACAGGCCTCGGCGACCTCCAGAAGGGACCCGTGGGCACTTGGGAAAACATGCAAGTGGGTGCGTATGGGGCGAGCGGGTCATGGATGAAAGTGGGGGCAGGAAGGAGGAAGGACGGAAGGAGGCAGGACACTGTGTCGGGAACCACAGCTGGATTACACATACACACACGTAGATTCACACACACACACACATGATGGGTTGCATAACTCTCACTGACAATCAAATCAAATCAAAATGCTGTGGTCTGCCTTATCCAGGCCATATTAGGGATCTCAGAATGTTTTCCGTGCCTTCTCCGCCTTACATCCCGCCACAAGGAAACAGACGGGAAGAAAGCCCAGCCTACTCCCAGAATGACTGTGTTTTATGGATCCAGGGTGCAGAACTGATGCTAATATTCCCTGTGCAAACCCCTGAACCGTTCCTCAGTGCTCAGAGGTAAGGTCCATACTTCCTTGTCTGGCTGAGGGTCTCTGTCATAAATGAACACACGTTTGGTGGCCTGGAATGGTGCAAGTCTGCCATCTTCCAGTTCAGAAGCTGAGAAGTTCAAAATGTAGCTTTCTGGGGTGAGCAGAGCCAGACTTGGGGGCCCTGAGTCAGTTGGGGATCCATTTCCTATTTTATCTCCATCCAGTTTTGAGGGCTGCCCTGACTTCTTGGTCTGTGGTCTCTCTGTGGTTTCCTACAGCAGTTGCCGGAGTTCCCTTTCTCTGATTCTAACATCCTGGTGGCTCCCCTTGGAAGGCCCCTGTGATAGCCCCAGACCCAGCTGGACAAGGTGGTTCTCTTCCATCTCCAGGTGTGGCCCTCCCTGTGGGAGGGAAGCTTCTGGGAACGGGACTTGACACCGTTGGGGACCACGGCTCTACCCGCCACCCTCGGCATTGGAGGCTCTCGGTGTCTCAGTGCTCTCACACCAACTTGCCTCTATGGGCTTACTGCTCCACCCTGGGCACTGTGTGCTCAGGATACCACCCTTCTCCCCTTCTCCACCGGACCTCTGTGCCTTCCCTGGTGCCTGCGCCCAGTGTGTCTGCTCTCTTACTCTCTTATCCTTTAAGCACAGCTTCGCTGTCAGCCCTGCATGGTCGTTCCTGAGTGGTGAGCCCCCACTCCCCCCAGACACCCCCACCCCCCGGCTCACAGCTATTTGTCCACAGCAGCTGGCTGCAGCGACTGTTTCCACACACCCATCTCTGTCCACTGTAAATACACAGACTTTAGTGAGCCTGAAACCAGTAACATGTGCACCTCCAAACACAAACACATTATCTTATCTTAGGGCAGGAACATGAAGGCGGGGAGCGGGGGTGCGGGGGAGTGGTATTGCCAGTAAATTCTCTAGAACATGGAGAAAACAGATACATCGCATAAATGGGACTGCTCAGAGATCATGGGCTGTCAGACAATGAGAGGTGCTGAAATGTCCCCACATGCCCAGTGTACAGAAGTGTGGCCATAGGAAGGCATGCTGCGACAGGCAGTGGGGAGGCTGGACCGTCCGCAGCATTCAGGGCACCCATGTCCCCAAATCTTGGACATCACGGCATGAGCATTTTGCTCCCAACCGTTAAGGATCCTCTGTTCTCTAACAGAAGCAGCATCACCCTCCTCACCCTGGTGGGCAGAGTGACAGAGGGCTTAGGTCCTCTCTCCAATCAGCCCGTTATACCGATTGCCAGGGACCTCTCCAAGCTGCAGTGGCCAGGACCAAGACTACCCTGGATAGTCCCAATCTACAATATTCTCTATCAGCGTCACAACCGGATGGTCTTTTTACTCCAGCCATGAGGGCTGTCTGCCAACCCCATCTGCTCCCTGCTTCCTGCTTCTTTGACCATGAACGCCCATGGCTATCTCTCAAGCACATGTACCACCCCATTTCAGAACCCAGCTCCACTGCTGCTCTCAGTATCTGTCTGTCTCTCTATCTTTTCTTTTTGGGTTATACCCAGCGATGCACAGGGGTTACTCCTGGTTCATGCACACAGGAATTACTCCTGGCTGTGCTTGGGGGACCATATGGGATGCTGGGAATCGAACCCGCGTGCAAGGCAAACACCCTACCCGCTGTGCTATTGCTCCAGCCCATCTCTCTCTTATTTTTTAATTAATTTTCTTTTTACTTTTTGGGTCATACCTGGCGATGCACAAGGGTTACTCCTGGTTCTGCACTCAGGAATTACTCCTGGTGGTGCTCAGGTGACCATATGGGATGCTGGGAATCGAACCTAGGTCAGTCGCATGCAAGGCAAACACCCTACCTGCTTGCGGTGCTATTGCTCCAGCCCCATCTCTAAGAACCGTGATTTACAAAGTTAGGTAACTGCATTTTAGGCGCATACTATTTCAACACTAATCCCATCACCAGTGTCAACTCCCCTGCACTAGTGATCCCAGATTCCCTCTGCACCCCAACTCCTACCCCATCCCCATCTGTCAACTTGACAAGAATGTTACAGAGTTTCAGTGGTTGCCTCTTAGATCTCCTGTTTTTAGTTCTGTTGAGTCTGTGTTTTGGATATTTGGCTATAAGACTCACTCATGTCACCTGGTATAACTGAAGCCCTGATGCCTGTTCACCCATCACTTCTTGTTCTCATGCTCCCCTTGATTTCTTTCCTTCTCTGTCGGTCTCCTCTCTAAACTCTTGGGTCAAGGGTAATCTAAGCATTCCCTTTCACTGTAGTACATTTCCTCATCCAGTATTCTATACACCACAGATAAGAGAGATCATATGTGTTTATCTTTCTTCTTCTGGCTTACTTCATTCAACATGATTATCTTCCAGTTTCAACTACATTACAGAAAATTGCATAATTTCATCGTTCCTTGCAGTTGCATTGTATTCCATTGTGTGTATAGACATACTTCATAATTCATAATTCTTCAGTCATTGGACACCCAGGCTGATTCCATATCTTAGCTATTGTGCTGAATACAGCAATGAATATTTTTTTTTCTTTTTGGGTCACACCTGGCGATGCACAGGTATTACTCCTGGCTCTGCACTCAGGAGTTGCTCCTGGCGGTGCTCAGGGGACCATATGGGATGCTAGGACTCGAACCCGGGTCAGCCGCGTGCAAGACAAACACCCTACCCGCTGTGCTATCTCTCCAGCTCACAGCAATGAATAGTGGTGTGCAAATGTCCATTGAGAGAATGTTTTTATATCCTGCGGATAGATACCTAAAAGTGGAATTGCTGGGTCATTTGGCAGTTCAATTCTAAGTTTACTGAGAACTCTCCATACTGTTTTCCATAGGGTTGCACCATACAACATTCCCACCAGCACTGGATGAGAGTTCCTTTCAACCACATTTCCCTCTCCCCAACACAGACTGTTCCTACTATTTTGATATTTTCCATTCTCACTGGTCTACTGCCACTCATCTTAAACAAGGCTCTCATTGCACTAGCAGCAGAAAGCTAGCTTCCCTCCCCCTCTCTATAATAGGAGAGAGAGAGGGAGAGAGAGAGAGACAGAGAGAGAGAGACAGAGAGAGAGAGACAGAGAGAGAGAGGGAGCGCACACATGAGAGAGTGAGTGTCCACTGCAATATGCCCAGCCAATGCCAGACAGCATCCAGAATTGCTCACTCCACTGAGCAACTGTGCAGGTCTCATGCCTGGCCAGATTCAGCCCCCAGAGTGGAACATCCCAGGAAGCATGATCCACCGACTGGATTACCAGGTGAGCTGACATGCTCCTCCTGGGCACTCTATCTCCTGCAGAGTCTGCCCTTCTTTACCTGTGACAGTCAGAAGAAGGGCTCAGTCATGTGTTGTCTGACACAATGGCCCTGTGCACTGAACTAGAAACATAAAAGTAGGTGTGTTCCTGTGGCAGAAACCTTATTTGCACCTTAACCCTGCTTTTGATTAATTAATTGCTTTCTGGGTCATACCCAGCGATGTTCAGTTCAGGGTTACTCCTGGATCCGCACTCAGGAATTATTCTTGGCAGTTCTTGGCGGGGGGGTGGGGGGGGAACCTTATTGAATGCCTGGGATTGAACCCAGGTCAACTGCATAAAAGGCAAACACCCTACCCGCTATACTACCATTTTGGCCTGTGTTGCCTTTAGTTACACTTTTGGGCCATACCCAGTGGTGCTCAGGGTTTATTTCTGGCTCTGTCCTCAGGGATCAGTTCTGGAGGGGCGTGGGGGACTGTTATGGGGTGCCAGGGTTTTGAACCCAGGTTGGCCGCGTGCAAAATAAGTGTCCTACCCACTGTACTATATTTATCTCTCTGCTGGCTATTTGCTTTCAGTAAACACTAAAGTTTGATGGTTTCCAAACAACAAAAAACACAGGGAGACAGTGAGAGGAGAAGGGGATCCGCGGGTGGGCGGGATGCTTCGGGACTGGCACCCACCTCACAATGGGGTTCCCGTGGTATAGGATGTAAATGCCAGCCTCCTTGTTTGAGAAGATCTGGTTGTTCCTGATGACACCTTTCCCGTTGCCGAGGACGACGATGCCAGAGCGCAGGCCATGGTGGATCTGGTTGCACTGCGAGTGAATGGGAGGCACAAGCGACTTGGTCAGAGGTGGACCCAGCCCATGGGGCCAGCCGCCTGGGAGGAGAGAGCAAGAACTGACCGAAGGCTCTTGCCCTGCATGCATAAGCTGAGAGCTTCTGTGCCTCCCAAGAGTCCCTCAAATGCACGGTCAAGGGTCCAGGGATGCAAAGAACCCACTTCTCAGCAGTACCCAGCACATGAGGGCACAAGATAAGCAGAGTCCTGGGGAAGGGGGAGAGTCGCTTCGTGTCCCCTCCTCACTTCTCATTCAGGGGCGACACTGCCAAAGGTTGCGGGAATGTAAATCCCACAGGACATGAGATGCCAGAGGTGTAGGGGCTACACAGACACAAAGAGGTTTTCCTGACCTCTTGTTAGGTCCTGGGGTTACTACAGTTGAGGTCTGCAGCAAAGCCAGAGCTAAAACCTAGAGACTCCATCTCCAGCCAGTGGGCAGCTTTTGCAAAGTGACAAAAAAGTTTCATGATAACAAATTATAATAAAATGGTTTCACTCTAATGGTTCATTTACAGCCCAAATGCAAACCCATATGCCAGTCACCAACAGGTGTCTTCCAAAACAGTTTCGTGGAGGGCCAAAGAGAGTACAGTAGATTATGGCTCTTGCTTTGCATGTGGCCGATCCACATTTGATTCCCAGCATACCATATGGTCCCTGTGAGTCCTGCCAGGAATGATCCCTAAGGACAGCCAGGTGTGACTTCCAAACAAACAATTCCATAGTATCAAAGTTCTGGTTTGCTTAAAAGTGCCTTCTGTTGGACACTCTTCTCTTCCTGCTCACTCTCCAGGTTTTCTCTGGGAGGATGGGCAGACTGTCCAGGAACTCTAGCCTGAAAGAAGCCCCACAGGGTGGGGGGGCTCCCACGCAGGTGGATAAAACCATGGTGGGAGGGAGCCAAGTACAGCAGGCAGGGCACTTGCCTTGCACATGGCCAACCTGGGACTGACCCCCTGGTATCCAGTATGGCCCCCCGAGCAGTGCCAGGATCCCTGAGCACAGAGCCAGGAGGAAGCCTTAAGTACAGCTGAGACTGACTCCAAAACAAAACCAAAAAAACCCCCAAAAACCCAGGATGGGAACAGAGCTATCGCTCTAGCCCAGCGGTAGGGTGTTTACCTTGCACGCAGCCAACATGGCCGACCTGAGTTCGATTCCTCCGCCCCTCTTGGAGAGCCCGGCAAGCTACCGAGAGTATCTCGCCTGCAATGCAGAGCCTGGCAAGCTCCCCGCAACGTATTCGATATGCCAAACACAGTAACAACAAGTCTCATGATGGAGACGTTACTGGGCCCGCTCGAGCAAATCGATGAACAACGGGAGGACCGTGACCATGACCGGGAACAGAGCACCTTCCCCACCTGCTCCGGGGTCCGCCGTCCTGCCCTGGGAGGTAGACCCCCCTCTCTGGCCACAGCAGCAGTGATCTACTAGGCTGAAACCATGTAGCAGCAACAGCTGTGTGTCAGAGGAAAGAGGGAGTTGGCAGAAGCCACTGACTCGGCCTTGTCTGTTTGGGGGATTGAAGGGGAAGCTCCCCAGTGGTACTAGCAACGACCATGCTACACCCTGGCCATGTCAGCCCCTGTACTGTCTATCTCCTGGACCCCTGGCGTGCCTTGGAGAATGGCCTCAGAACTTCCCTTTCTCTGCTTTGCACAGACACTAGGTACGATTTGGCGTTAATAAGCCCATTAACCCAGACAGCCTGGATTCAAACCTCAGCTCTGGCACCAGTAATCTGGGGTAAGACCTGTAGCCTCTGGGAGAACTTCATGTCTCCACCGTTGAAGTGGGAGTAACTCGACCTCCCAGGGTTGCACAAGGACTCAGCCGCAGCCAGAGAATATACAAAGCACTTAGAACTGTTCCCAGCCTACAACGGCCATGATTATGCTGGTGGACAGCATTTTTCCATGGTCACAGAAAGTCGGCCCTGTGTCCCAGTTTCTGCCAAGTGTTTCTCTCAGGGCAGGCTGGAGTGGACCAAGGGGCTGGTCTCACACACCACTAGCCTCATAGCTTAGGGTTTGAAGTGACTTTCACGCCAGTGTAGAATTAAGCCACATTCTCATGGTATCTGTGAAACAAAACTCTCAGAACTAAGTATCCCAAATGTCCTTTATAATAGGAAATAATGAGCTAACTTGGTGTTTGTTTTAATTTCTGATCCAATTGCTTTTTTTTTTTTTTTTTTGGTGGTGGTAGAGTGTTTGGGACATTACCTGGTGGTGTGTGGAAGCTACTCCCAGCTCTGTCTGGGGACCCTCTGCAGTGCAGGGGATTAACGGATAAACTGCATATAAGACAAGTGCCTGAACCCCTGTATTATCTCTCCAGTACCCCCCAAGTCTCATTTTTTATCTAAAATATATTTATTTATTTTTATTTTTTATTTTTTGCTTTTTGGGTCACACCCGGCGATGCACAGGGGTTACTCCTGGCTCTGCAATCAGAAATCACTCCTGGCGATGCTCAGGGGACCATATGGGATGCTGGGAATCAAACCTGGGTCAGCTGCGTGCAAGGCAAACGCCCTACCCGCTGTGCTATCTCTCCAGCCCCTGAAATTAATTAATTAATTAATTAATTTATTTTTTATTAGTGAGACACCAGGAGGTACAGTTATAGACTTATAAATTTTTGTGCTTGGGTTTCAGTTATACAGTGATCAAGTACCCATCCCTCCACTAGCGCCCATCCTCCACCACCACGGGTCCCAGCATTCCTCCCACCTCCCATGCCCCCATCCCACCCTGCCTCTGTGTCAGGGCATTCCCTTTTGTTCTCTCTTTCTCTCCTTTTGGGTCCTGTGGTTTGCAAGAGAGGCACTGAGTGGCAATCATGTTTGGTCTATAGTCTACTTTCAGAATGCTTTTCCCATCCTGGGAGGATCCTCCCGACACCCTTTATTTGGTGCTTCCTTCTCTATCTAAGCTTCCTTTTCCCCTAGCACATGCGGCTGGCCTTCAAGTCATGGAGCAAAATTCCTGGTACAGGCCACTCCTGGGTGTTAGTCTCCCATTTTGTTACTTTATGTTCCCCTGATGAATGCAATCTTTCTGTGCCTATCCTGCTCTTTCTGACTCATTTTGCTTAACATGATACTTTTCATGTAGTACCACTTGCATGTAAATTTCATGACTTCATCTTTTCTAACAGCTACATAGTACTCCACTGTGTAAATGTCAAGTCTCCTTTTTTTTTCTTTTTGGGTCACACCCGGCAATGCACCGGGGTTACTCCTGGTTCTGCACTCAGAAATTACCCCTGGTGGTGTTCAGGGGACCATATGGGATGCTGTGAATTGAAGCCAGGTTGGCCGCGTGCAAGGAAAATTCCTTACCCACTGTGCTATCGCTCCAGCCCTGCTCCCCACCCCCCAAGTCTCCTTACAGGCAACATTCCTATCCTTGAAATCTAATCAAACTCAAAGCCACTGCAGTCTCCAGGCCCCCTGAGAATTCCGTCTTTGGTGGGGCTCTTTCCTATCAGCTGGGAGATAGTAGGGAAGGGCTGGATTGCAAAGCACTCAGAAGGGGCGCATGGAGCAAGAGGGAGGCCTGCACAGAGATGGGGGTGGGACCCACCGCCAAGAGGCAGCAGTACATGACCCCAAGGATGACACACACATCAGAGCAGCCTCTGAGAAGACGCCTACGCCCCATGCCTCCCACCCTCCGCCCCTGCCCGGCTCCCGCCCTCCCTGGGGCCCCAGATTGACAGCCATACCAGGATGAGCGGGTTGGACTTCTTTCGGATGTCCACGCCTGCCTCGGCGTTGTGGTAGATGTTGTTGCCAGCGATCAGGCCTCCTCCCTCCAAGCGAAGAAAGATTCCTGAGGCCCGGCAGCGATGGATGTCGTTCCTGAGCATGACGATCTAGCAGGGGAAGAAAGCGTTGGTTCCCCTCCCTCCACGGGGCTGGGGTGCAGCCTGCCTCTGGTGCTGTGAGATCCTGGGGGCTCCTTATTCACCTCCCAAGGGCCCCCTAGTGAATCCCCTTCCTGAGCCTGGCCCTTCGCTCCAGACTCACCCCTGCAGAGAGTTACGGGTGGAAGCACGGACAGAGAGGACAGCGGATGGGGAGGCTGGGGTGGAGTGGATGGAGAAGGTGCAATTTTCAGGGATGAGTGCGACTCACCGGAGCAGGATCACGTCCCCGAAGCAGCAGCTCTTTGGGCATCAGGGACTTGTGCTGCCTAAGAGCTCCCCTCTGTTCCACCCTGCCCTTGGCTCTATTCTGGCCACTCTGAGTCTCTCTGTGAGTCTCATTCTGGGGTGGAACAACCCCACCCTACCCCTCAAACTGCAAACAGAGGCCCAGAGAGCAATGTGGGTATAAAGGGCCCCCTTCTAGCTCACTGCTAGACCAGGGAGGCACTGCCAGGTGCTTCTTTCTGCATTTAATCCCCCTGATCGTGGCCACATGCCTGCCCTCTTGACCGGATTACCAAGAACCCATCAGGGGAAATTCTATTTGTTATACCATGGTAGAGAATCGCAACCCAGAGAAGGGCAGGGTGTACACATTTCTGCTTCACAGAGGGAGGTGACACTCACGGGTGGCGGGGAGGGGGGTGGGAGGAGAGAGGGAGATGCCCACCTAGGTGCCTTGCCCTGCTAACTTCCGGTGGGCCATGTCCTTGGAGGAGCCACTCCTGCTGTACCCTTGGAGCTCAGAGGCCACTCTGAGTCCTGTGTCTCACTCCTGACAGTGCTCAGAGGCCATGCGTGCTTGGGGCTGGCCATGAAAGGCAAAGCACCTTCACCATGGTGCTGGTGCTTGGGCCTTGTCTCCTCACTTACCTGTGACCAGGTAAACTGGGCTAGTGAGATAGTACAGTGGGTAAGGAGCTTGCTTTAGCACAGTGGGTAGAGCGTTTGCCCTGCACGCGGCCGGCCAACACGGCTGACCTGAGTTCAATTCCTCCGCCCCTCTCGGAGAGCCTGGCAAGCTACCGAGAGTATCTTGCCCGCAGGGCAAAGCCTGGCAAGCTACCCATGACGTGTTCAATATGCCAGACACAGTAACAAGTCTCACAATGTTACTGGGCCCACTCGAGCAAATCGGTGAACAACGGGAGGACAGTGACAGTGACAGTCAAACCCGGAGATGCACAGGGGTTATTCCTGGCTCTGCCCTCAGGAATTACTCCTGGCGGTGCTCGGGGGACCATCTGGGATGCTGGGAATTGAACCCGGGTCGGTTGCATGCATGGCAAACACCCTACCTGCTGTGCTATCGCTCCAGCCCCAGGAGCCTGCTTTATGGGATTCAATTCCTGACCTCCTCCAATTCCCGACAGTGCCAGGAGTGAGCCCTGAGCACAGAGCGAGGGGTAAGCCCTGAGCATCCCCAGGTGTGGGCCAAAGCTCAAAATAAATAAATAAATAAATAAATAAAATACAACGCCATCAGCCCCATCAGAACCTTCCGGCTGGAGGCCACGGGCACCCTGCTCCCCGGCGAGAGGGCAGCACCTTGCTGTTGTGGATGCAGCGCACGGCGTAGGTCAGGTTCCGAAAGACGTTGGCCTCCATCTTGGCACGGCCGTAGGAGCACACGAACACGCCGCCCTTCCCGTCCCGGAACAGGCACTTACGGATGAGGCAGCCCTGCACGGAGCTGGCCAGGGCCATGGCCTCTTTGTCCTTCTGCAGCTCCTGCTGCAGGGAGTTGAGCACGAGGCAGCTGGGCAGCTGAATGGAGGCGCCCGGCAGCGGGGGACCCAGGAAGGAGCCCCCCAGGACCGGGCGGGGGCCCTGCACTTGGTAGGACAGCCGGTAGGTCAGCTGGTCCTCGTCCTCGTCCTCGCCGCTGGGACTCAGGCCCCCGTCGCTGCTGTCCGGGGTCTGGGCCACGCGCTCCCCGTCGCTGCCCCCTTCCGTGTCCTGGGAGCTGGCCTTGGAGCCGGGCTTTGGGGAGCTGGAGGCGGGGCTGGTGGGGCTCTGGCTCCCCTCGATGACGATGTCACACGTCTTAGGGCTCCATGCCTGGTCCCTGCTCTCCAGGTCCAGGGACATCAGCGCGTCTGAGTCCTCGGTGGGGAGCAGGCTGGGTGAAGACTTGATGAGCCCCAGGAGGTACTTGTAGGCCCAGTTCCGGTCAGCTGATGGGTGGCCCTCGACCGTCACGGAGTTGTTCTCGCTGCCCACAAACTCACAGTTCTCCAGGACGCACAGGGGCACATTGTGCAGGAAGACGTGCGTGTTCTTGAAGGTACAGAACTTCACCTGGCACGTGCCCGGGCCGTGGACCTGGATGTGGCCGTTCTCGAAGTTGCAGTTGTCAAACTGGACGTGCCCCGATGTTGTCTGTGGGAAGACAAGCAGAAAGAGATGTGTGTCACCAGGGGTGGGGTCCCTCTGCAGGACAGCGCAGTCCCAGCTCATCATGGGGCAAGGAGAAGACCACAGAACCCCCTTCCTCAATGGCACATGGCAAGCAGGCTCCATGTGAGCCCGGAAGCCGGGTGCAGCCTGCACTTGTCTCCTTCTGCAAAAGAAGGAGGATAGCATGCACATCAGGAAAGAGCGGCCAAGTCCGCACACTGCACTGCCATCCCGTCTTACACCAGGGACACAGCTCAAAGTGCTGAGCACATGCTTTGCAGTTCATCCCCAGCACCACGTGGTCCTATGAGGACCACCAGTGGTCAGCCCTTGACCACTGCCAAGTGTGGCTGCTTTTGAAGACCCCACCTCTAATCTTTCAATTATTGTTTTGGGCCACACTTAGCAGCAATCAGGGCTTACTCCAGGTTCTGCAATCAGGAATTAATCTTGGTGAGGCTTGGGGGACCATATGGTGTGCTGGGGATGGAACCAGTGTTGGCCACGTGCAAGGGAAGCGCCCTCCCCACTGTACTATTGCTCGGACCCGGCTTCCTGTCTTTGGCCTGCTGCCAGGAGGCGTTGCTGTGCCCGTCAGCCTGCAACAAGCTCTGGTACCTGCCCACTAGATGCTCTACCTGTGGGTCTGGTTAATCCAGTGCAAAGGAAAGGACTGGCCTCGAGTCCAAGCTGCTGAGTACAGCTTTGTCAGGAAGGCCTCCCCACTCCCGCCCCCACCCCCCGCTCCCCACCTGTTCCTCAGAATTCAGGAGCGTGTGGGCATGGGTGCACCAACCATGCTCTTGATGCCAACCAAAGGGAGTCCCCAATGCCCTGAGCAGAGGCCTGAGGGCATCCCCAAGTGGGGTGAGGGAGCATGCTCACCTTGAACATAAAGGGGGAGAACCAGGCGGGCATGAAGACGAGGTTGCACAGGCGCGTGGTGGAGCAGTGCTGGTCGATGCTGGCCAGCAGGGCCACCTCCCCCAGCTTGCCCTGACCCACGATCTCCACGGGCACCTTCAGGATGATCTCGCCTTGCTCCTCGTACACGCCCGGGAACAGCACGATGCGGTCGTAGAGGCTGGCCATGGCCAAGGCGCTGCCCAGGCTGTCGAACTCGTGGCCCGGCCCCACGTTCAGGGTGCGCCGTTCCCGCCGCCGGCGGAAGAGCGAGAAGCAGACGGATGACTCGAGGTCTAGGGCGTTCTTGGCCCACGTCTTCGAGGCTAGGTAGTGCTGCTTGAAGGCCTCCCGCCATGACTCGGGCTCCACGTGGGGCTGGTTGGGCCAGTTGGGGTGGCGGCACTCGGTGCAGCCCAGGCAGAGCTGGCGCCAGCGCGTGCTGTCCAGGCTAAGGATCAGCTCGTACCAGGCCCTGCACACCAGGCTGCAGCGGCCCAGGTCCGGAAGGTGCAGGTAGGCCAGGATCATGCGCCACAGCTCCAGGGGCAGCCCACCGGCCTCCATGGTCACCTGTGGGACACATAGCACAGGAGGTTTCTGTCTGTGCCACCTGGCGGCCTCCTCGAGACATCTCTGGCCCACACCTGAGCTCCCAGGAGAAGTTTTGGGGTGGGGGTGGGGGAGAGGGAATAGCAAAGGAAACCTCATAAATCACGGAGAGCCCTCCTCTGAGAGGTTCCTGTGCAACAGTAGCCAGGAGACTATCCCCTTTGGTCAGAGACCGTACGAATGGTCCCCCATGCTGCAGGCAGCCAGGTGTCTACCTTGGGGGAGAACCCCGCGGTGCTGGAGTCACAGAGAAATGAAGACTGGAAATGCGGAGGGGGAGAAATATGCACCAGGGCATGCCTCCTGGTGGGGCAGCACCGATTCCACAACCCAGCAGATGCCCAGGGCTCTTGGGCACTTGTGTCCACTCTGGTGACCCCTTTGGGGACCGCCAATAAATCTCCATATGCTTAACACATGGATGCCGGCGCTGTCACGTGTGTTAATTAGGCCACATTCAAGGGCGAGCCAATAGCAGTACTGCTGATGTCCACAGGTTAAGAAGATGGTTTGCTGTGGGAAGAGTGGGGGGATTGTTTCTGTGACTTGGAACCAATGTGGACTCACACAGAGCAGGGGGCTGGAGATCTACATGCAGACTCTTCCAGAGCAGGGTGCCTCTCAACCCAGAGCTACAGGAATGAACCCCAAGGCAGGCGACGGTCACCGTCTGCCTGCAGGTCACCTGAGGACAGACTCCATCTCAGATCACGGATCGCTGTGTCTTGCCCAGCACACGTCCGGCCATGGGGCTCACAACATTTCTGGCTGTGAACTTTAGCCGTGGGGCTTGGGAGCCACTGGAGCCGTCTTCCTTTGCCAGAGGAGCTCACACAGGTTCTTGTGGGGGTGTTGTGTGCTTCTCAGCAGTGAGACTGGAGAAGTTCCTACTATCATTAGTGCCCTGGGTCCCCAGAGGAACCTTGTTTGATGCTTGGGGGCAGCACTGGGGACCATACCGACAGAGCCACACTTTTTGCTGCTGAATCCGGCCACACCCGGTCCCTCACCCCCCAGCCTCTAAAAATCATTCTGAAAGAAATGCTGGGCTTCAGTGACCTAGTGGCCAAGTCACGCACAGGACACACACCGACTTCTCATTTCCCGGGTTCCAGGGTAGTGAATGGGCTCCCTGCTGGAAAACGACTGATTTGGTTGGCTGCGTTTGCGAGCGTGCCAACTATAACTAGGAATTCAAGGGTTGAAACATATTTGTAAGCCTGAAGTCTTTGACACTGTGATTCTTAGTGAAGCTGAAAATGAGCTTCCTCTGGCCTACTTAGTTCCTCAGACCTTGGACCAAGATCCTAGAAGCCTGACTGCCTCTTTGTTATGAAGGACGTCACTATCTTCCCCTGCTCATTTATTTATTTATTTATTTATTTATTTATTTATTTTTACATCTCCTGCCAAGGAATAGGGCATGATACATATCTCTAATTTTCCTCTATGAAAAAACTAAAATTTGTGTTGTGATCATGCTATGTTCACATACAACTTTATGGAAGAATAAACAGAAATACCTGATACACACACTTTGCCCAGTTTCCCGCCCCACCAACATTGCCCATGGTAACACTGCAGCACTACAATATGTCACAGCTGGCATGTGGAATAGGGACAACCCACCACTTCATTCCGGTTTCTCCAGTTCTACTTGTTCTTGTCTGTGGGTGTCTGCATTTGTATCATGTTCTATATAGTTTTATTGACTATGCATTATACACACGAACCAGGGGAAGTTTATGTATTTACTACGATAGTCAAGACAACAGGGCTGGAGAGATAGTACAACAGGCGGGGTGCTTGCCTCGCATGCAGTCAACCCAGGCTCAATCCCCAGCACCCTATATGCTCCTCCTCCAAGCCTCACCAGGAGTGAGCCCTGAACAGAGCCAGGAGTAAGCCCTGAGCACCACCAGGTATGGCCCCCAAACCAAAAAGTTCCTTCATGACTTTTCTTAGTCAATTCCTACACCTCACTCTTTAGGGCAAACCACCTTGGAGATTTTCTTGGAGATTTTCTCCATCACCGGTGAGTTTTGTCTGTTCCAGGACTTCATACAAATGGAACCACGCAGTACGCAATCTGTTGTATACAAATGGAACCACACAGTATGCAATCCATTGTATAAGGCACATTTCAGAAATTCATCCAGTTTTGCACATATCAGTAGTTCAATCCTTTTTATTGCCAAGTAGTATTTCATGGATAACATGAATTTGAAAACATCATTTTTGTGTGTGTGTGCCACCGGTGGTGCTCAGGGCTTATTTCTGGTGGGGACCATAGGGTGTGCAAATGCCCTACCTGCTCTACTACTGCTCTGGCCTTCAAAAATCAATTGTTTGGGGCTGGAGCAACAGCATAGCGGGTAGGGTGTTTGCCTTGCACGCGTCCGACCCGGGTTCGATTCCCAGCATCCCATATGGTCCCCCAAGCACCGCCAGGAGTAATTCCTGAGTGCAGAGCCAGGAGTAACCCCTGAGCGTTGCTGGGTGTGACCCAAAAAGCAAAAAAAAAAAAAAAAAAAACAATTGTTTGACAGAAAATGGCACTGCTGCTAGTTTGGGGGTGATTAAGAACAATGCCGTTGTATTTTTATATAACTGCTTTGTGAATGTTGCTTTAATCTTGAGCAAATACCTAAAAGTGGAAAGTGGGAGGTGGTGTCTCGAAGGGGGTGAGTAGAGCTGCTTTTCTGAAAGTGAAAATGACGGGTCCTCTTCCCAAGAGAAGGGTCCCTTTGCCCCCTTTATGTCATCACCATGGATGAAGGTGTGAGAGCCATGGCTGCTTCTCACTTCCCTCATTCCTGCAGGTCTTCACTGCATTGTTCAGGCAGGAATGGGACGGGACCTCAGCTTTCTTGTAACTCACATTTCCCTCCCGACTGACCAGGCTAACTGAGCACGTTCCTTCGTACTTTCTGGCACTCACACAGCTCCTCTTTGAAGAGTCGATTCAAATATATTTTTCAAAACTCCTCTCTCTTTTTAAGGGAGTTGTTTTTTTATTTAACTGATGTATAGGACTTGTTTAGTATCCATCTCATATAAGTTCTGTGACTATCCTCTCCCAGCCTGTAGCTTCCTTTCCTATTTTCCTAATGGCACTTTTTTTTCCTTTTTGGGTCACACCCGGTGATGCACAGGGGTTACTCCTGGCTCTGCATTCAGGAATCACTCCTGGCAGTGCTCAGGAGACCATATGGGGTGCTGGGAATCGAACGTGGCTTGGCCACATGCAAGGCAAACGCCCTACCCACTGTGCTATCACTCCAGCCTCCCCTAATGGCATCTTTTTGAGGAGAAGTTTCTAATGCTGATGAAGATGAACTGATCTTTGTCTTTCATGAGAACTGGTTTTTTTTTCCTGTTTGTTTTTGGAGAATCCATATATATATATATATATATATATATATATATATATATTTGCTTTTTGGGTCACACCTGGTGATGCAGAGGAGTTACTCCTGGCTCATGCACTCAGGAACCACTTTTGGCAGTGCTCGGGGGACCATATGGGATGCTGGGGATCAAACACAGGTCGGCCATATGCAAGGCAAATGCCCTACCCACTGTGCTATCACTCCAGCATCTATAATTTAAAAATTTTTTTTAATTAAAGAACTATGATTACGAAATTACTGAGAGTTGAGGTTTTGGGCATATTTCAACACCGGTCTATAAGGACTAATTTTGCCCACCAGAGAATTCCTTATTAATCCCTGAGTAATCAAGATGTTCTCCTATATTCCCTCCCCCACCCCCTGCCACTTTTACTGTTAGCCTTAATTTCAGGCATAGTTATACCAACACCACACCCAGCACTGGAGCTTCCGCTTCCAGTGACCCAAGGGCCCCTCCCAGCACCACCCCCCACCCAGCCCTCAGGCCTTGGCCATTTGTTGTTCCCTTTCTTTTTCTTATTCCTCTTCATCCCTCCCTACCTTTGTCCTCTAATCCCTTCTCTATCGTTTGGCTCTACTCCTCTTCCCTCTCACTGTCCTCTCCTCCACTGCATCCCCACCCCTCCCTATCCTTTTCTTAAGCTTTTCCTCTCCCCTCCCCTCATTTTTTTCTTCTCTCCTCTCTTCTCTTCTCCTGACCACTCCTCCCCTTCCAGGCCCTCCCCTCCTTGTTCCCTTTCTATGCTTCTTTATACTCCACATATGAGTGAGATCATCCTGTACCCATCCTTCTGACATCACTCAGCATGAGTCTCTTTAGTTCCTTTCTCTGTTACATCCTGACCTAAGAGGCAGTGAATGAACTGGTCCCAGTATTCAAGTGGATGTCCGGTTACTCCAGCATCATCTGTTGAAGAATTTCTTTACCCTCTTGGGTTGCTTTGGTGCCTCTGTCAAAAACCAAATGAGAGCAGTATAGTATATTTCTGGGCTGCCTATTCTTCTCTCTCTCTCTCTCTCTCTCTCTCTCTCTCTCTCTCTCTCTTTCTCTCTCTCTCAATGGTAGGTAATCCACAGCCATACTGTGAGCACACTAGGGCTACATTCAGCGGTGCTCAGGAGGCCATGCTATGCTTAGGGTCAAACCTGGGGCCCCGAGTATGTTTGCATAAGCTCTTGCCCTTAAAGCTATTTCCTTGCATCAAATTTTAAGACATTTACTTTTCTCTTTTAATGGGTGTTGCCAGGGATTGAACCCAGGGACCCACACGTCCTTTAATTTTGTTTCTGTGATCTATTTGTCATTTATTTGTTTTTTAGGACAACCATGCTAGCAAGCCGGGTTCTGAAAAGGATTGAGCACAATCGACCGTATCCACATGATAACCAAGATCATTGAGGTATCTCGGGAGTTCAAGATGCCACTCTGTCTAACGTTCATTGATTTAAAGAAGACCTTTGATTCTGTTGAAACGGAAGCGGTCATCGAAGCCCTAGCCAAACAGGGCATTCAAACTCAATACATTAGGATCCTTCGTGAGCTGTATT